TAAAGTCACAACTCACGATAACTTTTAGGTATATAGACCTTAACGAATTATGGGAGTATTAGTCAGAATAATGCAAAATAGGCGATGAAAACGTGAATTCCGGAGTCTTTGGAAAATGCAAGGCTTCAAAAAAGGAATTGAAATCAAGGGGTGACGAGAGTTTGACGACAGAAGCTGTATGGTAAGGGGTATTTGGACTGTTCAAAGTGAGCGAATGGTGCAAGCTCTACAGCTTTCACAACGCTGGGAACTTGTCAGCTTTGGGTGCCTGAGCCGGTTCTGAGGCCCTTATAACGCTCTATCTAGCCGTTTTTCGACCCAACAGCGTCGATTGTGCTATCCTTGGGAGCCAAGGTTCATTCCAGTAAGAAGTTTCAGGAACTGTTTTCATCTTGGAATCAATGGTTCATTCCCTACTAACCTTAGAGGTGGTAGGAAACGCACAAAACATACCTTCATTTCTCAAAATCGGAGTGGGGTTATTTACCGGTGCTAAGCTGTATCTATAGAGTACACAAAAAGTAAATTGCTGCTCTGAAAGTAGTTCTGAGGCATATTTTCGCTAAAAATATCACGAGCTGACTTCATCAGAGGCATCCACTAAAGTAGGCACAGAGAGTGGTTCAAATCTCTTCAACAAAGGGTTCTAGTAAATTGTTTTTCAAATACTGGAGACTGGAGGAGAAGTGGGGTTGGCAAAGGACAAGAAAATCTGCAATAGTCGAAGCATAGTGCCTCGGATTCCTATTGTTTTGAGATTGCCAACTGTTTTCTCACTTAATTATTCGTTAGGACAACCGTAATGTTTCGCACATTTGAGCTGTTTGCTGGACGACGGGGGCTGTTGGGAGTACAAATTGTGAATTCATGCTCATCGTAAATGCTTTTTTTAACTCCAATTTTGCCATAGTAACAGCACTGAACTATTACCGTCACACATCCAAAGTGTCTAAATCCAGCATGAACTTTACTACAGTTTTATATTGCGCTTCAATTTTACGGATTAAAGCGTTTCTTATTTTTGTTACTTTCCAGTTCTCGATCAGACATTTAACACAAGTATTCCGGGAGGGTGAAGGGATGCTATGAATCTTACCTTTGGACATGTAGGTGCATTTGCAAATTACCGATGCACCTTATGTATTTGAAATTTGAAGTTTATTTCCTTCATTATCTGTGATGAAAAATGGGCACTCAAATAATGGTTGGAATGCCCTTTGTTCAGATTACCATTCTGCTCCTTCTTGGAACATTGTTACCCTGAAAACATTGACATTAGCGATTTCGCAAACATAATTATCGCAAACGACAGTTATGCCGATTGAGGACCATTGACAGCAGCTTCAGCAGCAATGAGGATTCATTCATATCTTTGAATGAAGCGTTGGCGTCTACTTAGTATATTCCCAGGATCGCAGCAATGGCTAATCAGAAGGTTTAGTAAAAGTAGAGCGGCATTACTCCGTTTGAATTAATTTTTTTAAATCATTCGATAGCATCGAATATATGTGTTTTGCATATCCTGACAAGAGAGAAGTTGGAGACCATTGACAGCAAGTTTGAAACCACTGACAGTGCCTTCATACGCACTCGTTCGAACTGCGGGAGGTATTAGGGTTTTGTGGTGGAACTGTATACGCCCGAAGAATGAGGGTCAACGGGTGGATATATGCAGCAGTAGGGTTCAACAATGCATCACTACCACCCCCCTCCACCTCCGATATTGACAATATTTCTGCTTGATGGCCGTCATGTTCAGTTCCGCCCCTGTAGAATGTTTTATCTGCAGACTTAATGATATTATTAATGGCAACCCTATAGTTCATCGCTAGGCTCACCGACTATGAAAACAAAAGAGGAGTTGGATTGTAAGCGTCGCAGTCAAACCTCCATTGCTCGAGGCTGTTCAGTGCAATAACGCTGGATTAATGATATCTCTGAGACTCGCTAAGTCTGAGACAGTGAATTTTCCTGTTGTGCTGGTTAGGGGGAACTTGAGGGTAGAGGTCCGGGGTTGTTCTTATTAATGGTACCAACACTTCTTCACCGTCTGTGTCCTTGTGCAAAGGTGATGTAGTGGCAAGCAGGTCCGAGTACCGAGTACTGGATTGGTAACAGATCGCGGCAACCCCTGGAGGATATTTGACTGGGCTTGGAGGGTTGGTGCTCCTTTTACGGGATGATGTGGTGGCCTTCCCATAATGTGTCCAT